TACTTTGAATGTTCCAAGCAGTAATACTTAGTGGATTTGCCAATTCACGTTTCACATTGATTGAAATTTATGAATTGAATGGCTGTACATTACATCAGAGGTTTCCTTTCCTCTGCTGTGGTTTTGAAATGTTCCTGTGAAGGTCCTTCATTCGGACTGTGTGATTTAATTGGCTGGCCCTTGTCAGCCTTTGAAGCGAGGCTGAAGTTCAGAATAGCCAGTAAACTCTGTGCCAGGAAGTGTGAAGACAGAACGTGCGTTGTTACTTATGTAATAAGTCAATGAGGGATTAACACAGTTTACTACTTTCTCTTTTGAATCTTCCTTGTATGTTCAGTAGATATGACCTAGATGCCGTTGTCTAGAGTCTTTGGAGAACTTTTTTTACTTTGTAACTTGAATTAGTATCTATATTTGGGTTTATTTTTCCTTTTGAAAAGGAATATTCAGAAATGTAACATGGGGGGCCAGTGCTGTGGCATGACTGGTTAGGCCGCAACCTGCAGCTCCGACATCCCATATGGGTACCAGTTCAAGTTCCAGCTGTTCCATTTCTGATCCAGCTCCCTGCTAATGTGCCTAGGAAAGCAGCGGAAGATATCCCAAGTCTCTTGATTTCCTGCACCCATGTGTGAGACCTGGAAGAAGCTCCTAGCTCTTGGCTTTGGCCCGGCCCAGCCCCAGTCATTGCGGCCATTTGGGGAATGAAACAGTGGATAGAAGATCTCTGTCTCTTCTCCCTCTGTAACTCTGCCTTTCAAATAAATAAATAAATAAATAAATATTTAAAAAGGTAACATTGGGGGCAGGCATTTGACTCATTGGTTAAGATGTCAGTCAAGATGCTTGTGTTGCGTATCATAGTGACTGACTGAGTCAAGTTGGATCCCACTTTGGATCCAGTTTCTTGGTAATGCACGTCCTGGGAGGCAGCTGGGCACAGCTCAAGTACTGGTTCCTTGCCACCCAGTGAGGAGACCCAGATTGAGTTGTGGGCTCTTGCTTTGGCCTAGCCTAGCCGTGGCTGTTGCAGGCATTTAGAGAGTGAGCCAGCAGTTGGAAGATCTCTCTCACTGTCTCTCTGTTTCTTTCAGTTAAAGTAAAAATAAGTAAATAATAAATGTTTAATAATTTAAAGGTAACGTTGATCACAATTACCAAGGAAAATGAGTATTCTGCATGTTTCATGCAAATGAGATCATATAATATGACCTTTGTGTCTGGCTTCTTTCACCTAGCATCATGTGTGAGTACTTCACTCCTTCTTTCAGCTGGATACTATCCCATGTGTGTACCTGCACATTTTGTTTATTGTGAGTGCACATTGGGTTGTTTCTAACTTTTGGCTGTTGTGTATAACACCACTGTGTACATTCATGTACAAATATTTGCTTAAGTACCCATTGTCAATTCTTTGGGGTATATATCTAGTGTGGAATTACGAAATTATATAGTACTTTTTAAAAAGATTGAATTTTATTGGAAAGGCAGAGAGAGAAGAGAGATATTCTATCTGCTAGTTAACTCCTCAGATGGCCACAACAGCCAGATCTGGGCCAGGAACTCCTCTGGGTCTCCCATATGAGTGGCAGTGTCCCAACTACTTGGGTCGTTTCTGCTGCCTTCCCAGGAGCAGAATTGAGTTGTGGGCTCTTGATTTGGCCTAGCCCAGCCGTGGCTGTTGCAGGCATTTAGAGAGTGAGCCAGCAGTTGGAAGATCTCTCTCACTGTCTCTCTGTTTCTTTCAGTTAAAGTAAAAATAAGTAAATAATAAATGCTTAATAATTTAAAGGTAACATTAGAAGGCAGCTTAATCAGAAGTGGAGTAGCCAGAACTCAGAGTGACATTCTGGAATGGGATGTGGGTATCTCAAGTGGCAGATTAAAATGCGTGTGTGGGGCCAGCGCTGTGGCGTAGCGGGTAAAGCCACTGCCTGCAGTGCCGGCATCCCATATGGGTGCCGGTTCAAGTCCTGGCTGCTCCTCTTCCGATCCAGCTCTCTGCTACAGCCTGGGAGGGCAGTAGAGGATGGCCCAAGTCCTTGGGCACTTGCTTCCGCATGGGAGACCGGGAAAGAGCACCTGGCTTCAGATAGGCACAGCTCCTGCTGTTTGTGGCCAGTTGAGGAATGAACCAGTGGAAGGAAGACCTCTCTCGCTCTCTGCCTCTCCTTCTCTCTCTGTGTAACTTGACTTTCAAATGAATAAATAAATCTTTTTTTTTTTTAAATGCTGTGTGCTTTATCTGCACATTTTGTTAACTTTTTGAGGAATTACCAAACTGTTTTCTCCAGTGGCTAAATCTTTTCACATTCCTAGAAGCAATCTATGAGGGGTTCCAGTTTCTCAACAACTTTGCCAACACTCTTTACATTCCTTTTGTTTGTTTGAATATAGCTAACCTAGTGGGTATGTCATTGTGGTGTTACTCTGCATTTCCCTAGTAAATAATGATAGTGAACATATACTTTTGTGCTTATTGTTTGGAGAAATATTGTCTTTTTGTTGTAAGATTTCCTTATATATTTTAGATACCTAATTTTTAGATATGTGATTTGCAAATATTTTCTCCTATTGGTTGTCTTTTCACATACTGCCTTTTGATGCATTGACATCTTTAGTATTTTTTGCAAGTTTATTTATTTGAAAGGCAGAGAGAGAGAGAGAGAGCACAAAGCCAGGAGCCTGGAACTCTACCTAGGTCTCCATTGTGGGTGCAGGGGCCCAATGACTTGGGCCATCTTCTGCCTCTTTCCCAGGCACATTGGCAAGGAGCTGGATTGGAAGTGGAGTAGCCAGGACACAAAGTGGTTTCTGGCATTGCAGGCAGTGGCTTAACCCTACAAGAAGTCTTGTAGTTTTGGTGAAATCCAGTTTGTCTTTTTTTCCTGTGTTCATATTTTTCATGTCATATTTCATGTCATATTTAAGAATTTGGAATGTTTTATGATTTATCCCTATATTTTATTCTAAATATTTATGGTTTTAGCTCTATGTTTAGGGTGTTGGTCCATTTTGAGTTAATTTTTATGTATGATCTGTGAGGGTAATTCATGAGAACTCTGTTTTGATGGCAAAATTTAATGGAGCCTTCATATTGTATTTGTATCAACTGAAAACTGCTATGCGTTTCATATTATTTTATTTATTTATTTGAGAGACATACAGAGTGAATCAGAAAGAGAGATAATCTCCTATCTGCTGGTTCACTTCCTAAATGTCTGCAATGGCCAAGGCTGGGATGGGGCCAAAGCCACGGGCCTGAAGCTCAATTCAGGTCTCCCATGTGGGTGATAAAAAAATGCAACCACTTGAGCCATCATCCACTGCTTCCCAAGGTTCATATTAGCAGAAAACTTGAATCAGGAGTAAAACCCAGGTACCCTGATGTGGGACTTGGGCTTCCTTTTTAAAAAATATTTATTTATTTAAAAGAGTTAGAGGGAGAGACTCAGTGGAAATCTTCCAACCTCAGGCCTCTTAACCGCTAGACCAAATGCCCACCCCTCATAGTATTTTTTTTTTAATTATTCTGCATTGCACTAATCAAAGTAGAATCTGTATTATTTATGTAATTTTTCATTTTATCTGAAAGGGAGGGAGGGAGAGAGAAAGAGATATCTTCCATCTGTTGGTTTATTCCCCAAGTGCGTGCAACTGTCAGACTGGGCCAAACTGAAGCCAAGAGCCAGGAAATAAATCTGTGTCTCCCACATTGGTGGCAGGGACCCAAGGACTTGGGCTGTCACTTGCTGCCACCCAGGGTGCACCTTAGCAGGAAGCTGGATTGGAATGGAGGAGCCAGGACTTGAATCAGGCACTCCAGTAGGGATGCAGGTGTCCTGAGTAGTGTCTTAACCGTGGCACTGAATGCCTGCCCCAATGTGTACATTTTAAAAGTAGTACTGGTAAGTATAAAGCATGATTTTTTTCAGTCCGTGGGTTGGAATTGGTGACTGTATATGGGTTCGTGGGTCTGTGGGTCCCTTTCTCAGAACTCCATTGTGTCCTCCGAGTCTGGAGATCACAGATTTTGTAGATGAGCATGTGGACATTTGGGGAGTAGAGCAGTGGATAGGAGGAGTTCTTTCTTGCATGCATTCTTTCTCTCTTTGCCTTTCAAAAAAAAAGTCTGGTTTTGTTTTATCTGAAAACAGAGAATATTTTTACTTCACATGTACACTGCTGAGTTAAAGTCTCACTGTTCTCTTAGAGCTGAGAATGGTGTGTTGTATTGACCCATGGTGATCTGATGGGACAGGAACTGGGACACAGAGGATTGAGAAACTTGGAGGGGAAGGGTTGGACCATGGTGAAAATCCTGGCCAGTGGTCACCTTTCTTCACGTTCATCAATGATAATCTTTTGTTTTTTGTCACCTTGTCAGGTGTGTATTCTAAAGACTTTTGAGGCCGGCACTGTGGCTTACTAGGCTAATCCTCCGCGTTGAGGCACTGGCACACCGGGTTCTAGTCCCGGTCGGGGCACCAGATTCTGTCCCAGTTGCCCCTCTTCCAGGCCAGCTCTCTGCTGTGGCCAGGGAGTGCAGTGGAGGATGGCCCAAGTGCTTGGGCCCTGCACCCCATGGGAGACCAGAATAAGCACCTGGCTCCTGCCTTCGGATCAGCGCGGTGCGCCGGTCGCAGTGGCCGTTGGAGGGTGAACCAACGGCAAAGGAAGACCTTTCTGTCTCTCTCTATCTCACTGTCCACTCTGCCTGTCAAAAAAAATATATATATTTTTTTTGAATAGGGAGAAATAGAGAAGATAAATAGCTGAGAGTCAGAGAGGGGATAATGGCCACTATTTCTGATTTTGCTCGATCATATGTCTATTTGTTCTAACAATATGGATGCCAACTTATAAGAGGTAGTTTGGAGAGGTATAAACAAGAATGGGTCTGAGTTACTTTGATGTGTATGGTGTTTAAACTCTGAATCTGTCTGAATGTGCCTTTTCAAATTTTTAACCCCTCCCCAACGTGACCTCTGTGATTTCAGGTACTACTTGTGAGCAGTAGTCGCCATCCAGACCGATGGATTGTCCCTGGAGGAGGCATGGAGCCCGAGGAGGAGCCCAGTGTGGCAGCAGCCCGAGAAGTCTGTGAGGAGGTACGCATGAGGAGGAAGGGCACAGCTGTCCCTTAAGTTCCTGAGCCTGTCCTGCCTGTCTAGTGCTTTAATTTATCACCATCCACTGAGTAAGCACACTCAGGATCGCAGAAAGCTGGCTTTTTTGGTTTGTTTATGCCTTCTTGATTCAGGGGTGATTGAGCTGTGATGTGGTAATATTTATCAGGCTCTGTATGGAGGAAGAGAGCTGATAGTAATGGTTTTATCTGATTATATGGGACAGTCCTTTGTGACTTCCGATGGGTCTCTTCCAGCATTGCTGCTTTTACCTGTGGCAAAGATCAAGAATAAAATAGGGGTCAGTGCTGTGGTGCGGCGGGTTAAAGCCCTGGTCTGCAATGCGGGCATCCTGTATGGGTGCTGGTTCGAGTCTCGGCTGCTCCACTTCCTATCCCGCTCTCTGCTTTGGCCTGGGAAAGCAGTGGAAGATGGTCTAAGTCCTTAGGCCCCTGCACCTGCATGGGAGACCCAGAAGAAGCTCCTGGCTCCTGGCTTTGGATCAGCACAGCTCCAGCCATTGCAGCCATCTGGAGAGTGAACCAGCGGATGGAAGACCTCTCTCTCTGTCTCTCTGTCTCTGTTTCTCTCTCTGTCTCTCTTTCTCTCTGTGCGTGCGCGCGCGTGCGCATGTGTGTAACTCTGACTTTCAAATAAATAAGTGGATTAAGCCACTGCTTAGGTCTCCCATATCCCCTATCAGAGTGTGTGGTTCAAGTCCCTGGCACTGTGTAGTAAGTTAAGCCTCGGGTCTGGCGCTATGGCTCACTTGGTTAATCCTCCGCCTGCGGCGCCAGCATCCCATATGGGCACCAGGTTCTAGTCCCGGTTGCTCCTCTCCCAGTCCAGCTCTCTGCTGTGGCCCAGAAGGGCAGTGGAGGATGGCATGGGTGCTTTGGCCCCTATACCTGCATGGGAGGTCAGGAAGAAGCACCTGGCTCCTGGCTTCGGATCGGTGCAGCGCCAGTCGTGGCAGCCATTTGGGGAGTGAACCAATGGAAGAAAGACCTTTCTCTCTGTCTCTCTCTCTCTCACTGTCTATAACTCTACCTGTCAAATAATAAAATAAAATAAAATAAAATAAAATAAAATAAAATAAAATAAAAAGTTAAGCCTCTACCTACAGTGCTGGCATCACATATGGGCACCAGTTTGAGTCCCAGCTGCTTTGCCTCCCATTCAGCTCCCTGCTAATGCACCTGGGAAAAGCAGCAGAAGATGGCCTAAGTACTTGGACCCCTGCATCCAAGTGAGAGATCCAGAAGAAGCTCCTGGTTCCAGGGTTTGGCCTGGGCCAGTCCTGGCCATTGTGGCCATTTTGGGGAGTGAACCAGTGGATGGAAGATTCTCTCTCTGGCTTTCAAACACATAAATAAATCTTTGGGGGGGCGGGGAGTCCCACTATTCTGCTTCTGATTCAGCTTCCTGCTGATTCACCTGGGAGGCAGCAGATTGGGTCCCTGCCACCCATATGGGAGACCTGGGCTCTTGACTCTGGCCTGGCCCATCCCTGGCTGTTGCAGGTGTTTGAGGAATGAACCAGTAGGTGGAAGATCTCTTTGTCTGTCTCTCCCCTCTCTGTGTTATTCTGCCTTTCAAATAAATAATAAATCTAAAAAACAAAAACAAAAAAACAGAAAAAATCTTTAGGGTTTATTTTTTTTTTAAAGATTTATTTATTTGTTTAAAAGAGTGACACAAAGAGAGAAGGAGAGTCAGAGAGAGAGGTCTTCCATCTGCTGATTCACTCCCTGATTAGCCACAATGACCAGAGCTACACCGACCCAAAGCCAGGAGCTAGGAGCTTTTTCCAGGTCTCCCACATAGGTGCAGGGGCCCAAGGACTTGGGCCATCTTCTGCTGCTTTCCCAGGCCATAACAGAGAGCTGGATGGAAAGTGAAGCAGCCAGGACCTGAACTGGCACCCATATGGGAATGCCAGCACTGCAGGTGGTGGCTTTACCAAATGTGCCACAGTGCCGGCCCCATAGAGTTTATTTTGTTAGAAATGTACTTACATTGGAATGTACTAATACGTGTTTATTTTATAATGTAAAAGACCAGATAAAATATAACTTTGAATTCAGATCCTTTATGCAGTCTGTGTTAAAATTATAAGGCATTATAAGGCAAAAGTAGCATAGACAATGCGTAACACAAACAAATGGATGTGGCTGTGTTCCAGTACAGCTTTATTTACAAATCCAGTACTGAGCTGCAATCCGTACAGAGTGTGGTTGTTGAAACATCAGCATCAGCCAGGAGCTTGTTGAAATGGAAACTCTCAGGCCCCAGTTGAGGCCTAGTGTATGTATAGCAGAGTCTGATTTTCTAGGCTCCCCAGCTGATTTTTAGAACCCACTTGCACTAGAGTGTGGAATTCTGACGAGTGTTCTGAGACTCCCTCCTGAAGGACTTGTGGAGAGAAATGCTCTCTGAGGGATGGATTCTGATTTGGCTGTCTCCACATCCATTCCAATCCCCTCTGATACAAAGAGACTTGAAAACAACAAAGGACTTTTCCCAGACTTGTAACAAATGCAGCTAAGTCTCCTTGGTGTGGTAGAGGTTTGCCCAGTGTAAAGCACTCGTACAAGACTGTTGCAGATAGCTCAAGGAGAGAAGCAGGTTCTGTTGTGAGGATAGCAGCCCTGTTGGCTTTGGTGGCACACACTTCGACAGGAGGAGATATGGTTCTGGAATTGGCAGCTGTGGGCTCAACTTTCTGTTTGGCTGAGTGCTTTATTTGGCAGGGTCTCGATCCATCCCAGAGACAGCCGGTCCTTTGGAAGCCCAGTTGTGCAGTATTTAGGAAGTTGTCCTAGAACCGTGGCCTGCAGTCTCTGTCTTTAGCTCTCCCAAAGATTCTGTAAATTCTTTTTATCCCTTAATAAATCTCTTAATCAGATTGCTTTCTACTGTCTGCAGTTAAGAATCTTGATTAGTTCAGATGCCCTGGGAGTGGTGACTGCGAGTCCTGTCAGTACTCCTGCTTGGCAGTGTTAACCTGCAGTGGGCTGCTAGGGCAGATTCCGGTTCAGATCCAGAAACTGTGCCTTCTGCATGGCTGTTGACTGAAATACAGAAATAAATAAATAAGGCACCTAAGTTTTGCTCTCAGTGCATTTTATTTTATTTTTTTTATTTTTATTTTTATTTTTTTTTGACAGGCAGAGTGGACAGTGAGAGAAGAGTCAGAGAGAAAGGTCTTCCTTTGCCGTTGGTTCACCCTCCAATGGCCGCCGTGGCCAGCGCGCTGTGGCCGGCGCACCGCGCTGATCCGATGGCAGGAGCCAGGTGCTTCTTCTGGTCTCCCATGGGGTGCAGGACCCAAGCACTTGGGCCATCCTCCACTGCACTCCCTGGCCACAGCAGAGAGCTGGCCTGGAAGAGGGGCAACCAGGACAGAACCGGCACCCCACCTGGGACTAGAACCCGGAGTACTGGCGCCGCAGGCGGAGGATTAGCCTAGTGAGCCGCAGCGCCGGCCTCAGTGCATTTTAACATCTCATGGAGAATACAAAGCAAATTGGAAATTATAATTTGAAAGTTAAGATTTGAAGGAGTAGTTAGTTCAGCAGCTAGAATAGCCACTTCTGGCACAAAGATTGGCTTCTAGGAAGTCATCTGTAAGGTTTTGGACTTGCTGATTTAAAATTCTTCTATTTGGGAGCACATGTTTGGCACAGTCTTTAGAATGTTGCTTGGAACACCCACATCACATTTTGGATTGCCTAGATATGAGTCCTGGCTCTATTCATAATTCCAGCTTCCTGCTAACACATACCCTGGGAGGCAGCAGGTTATGGCTCAGGCAGTGGGGTCCCTGCCACCCCTGTGGGAGACTCAGATGGAGTTCTGGGCTCCTAGCTTCAGCCTGGCCTAGTCCCTGCTCCTGCAGGTATTTGGGGAGTGAACCAGTAGATGGAAGATCTCTGTCTTTATCTGTCTCTCTGCCTTTCAAATAAATGAAAATAAATTTAAGTACAAGTTTAAAATATGCAGCAGATTAAGCTGCCACCTGCAGTGCCTGCATCTCACAGTGGAGTGCCCATTCAAGCTCTCATCCGGCTTCCTGCTAATGCACCCAGGAAGGCAGTGGAAAATGGCCCAAGTCCTTGGGCTCCTAACACCCTGTGGGAGACCAGTGTGGAGTTCCTGGCTCCTGGCTTCAACCTGGCTCAACCCTGTTTGCCGTGGCCATTCAGAAAGTGAACCAGCAGATGGAAGATCCCTCTCCTCCCCCCTCCTCCTCTCATAAAACAGGAATGAAATACAGGGTGAACCTTTCTTTATTCTGAAGCAGATCAGACCCTATTTTCCTGTTGGGAATGAGAAATGCCTGAGGTACAGACAGGACTTGAGGGCCAAGTATGGCTCTGTGCTTTCTCTTCCTAAATTCTGGACATCATAACCTTTGGCCCCTTCTGGAGGATCCCAAAGATTTGACTGTTGAGTAAGCGTGGTAGGACCTGTTGGTGCATAATTTTGATTTAAATCCAATTGGCTTCTGTAGGTTCTTAGGTGCCTAAGACAAAAGTGATGTTTGACAGAGTTATATTGCAAGTTTGGGTTCAGGCAGGTTGTTCCAAGACCTGAAATAGAATGATAGTTCTGGAGTAGAGAGAGAGGGCAAAGTTCAGAGACCTTGGTTGGAGAACTATGGCTGGAACCCAGTGGTTGTGCTTTTGTGGAACACGGTTTGGAGTTAGTGTGGGTCTCAAGGAAGCTGTTCTGTTGGGTGTTACAGTGGAATGGTCCGTGGGTTACACAGGTGCATCTGAGATGTAGAAAACTGGATGATGGCAGCAGGAAATGCTTATAAATGAGATGAGTCAGATTCTTTAAATATTCTCATACTGTATATAAGGTTATTAAGATTTTAAACTTAATATCACAAGTTGGAAATAAGTACTCAATTATACTTTTTAAAAATTTTATTTAAAGTCTCTCATTGTGGTGCAGTGGGGTAAGCCACTGCC